AAATTAAAATAGAGGTGATATGGAGTCTGGAGAGATGACTCAATGATTTAGAGCACCGTCTGCTCGACCTGGGTTCAGATCCCAGCTTCCACATGATAGGTAACAACCATCCGTAGCTCCAGTTCCAGGGAATCCAACCCCCTCTTCTGACCTCCGAAGGCACTGCACGACACGGGTGCACGAACATGCATTGAGATAGTACTCTGATATGTGTGAAATAAAAATAATAAATACAATAAAATACAGCAATAAAATAAAGCTGACTGTGGTATACTCCTGTAATCCCAGCACTTGAGAGGCAGAGATAGGAAGATGAGGGGTTCAAGTTCATCATCAGATACATAGTAAATTGAAGCTAGCATGGAATACATGGAACCCTGTCTTAATACCCATCCCCTAGGGTTTGGACTCTGGATGCTAAAGCAGGAGGATAACCAGTATGAGGCCATCCTGAGCTACCATAGTGAAACCCTATCTTAAAATATAAAGTATGTGGGCCGGAGGGATGGCTTAGTAGTTAAGAACACTGACTGCTCTTGCAGAGGACCTGGGTTATGTTCCTAGCACCCACATGGTTTCTAACAAACATCTGTAACTTCAGTTCCAAGGGATCTGAAGCCCTCTTCTGACCTATGCAGGCATTGCATGACACAGGTACTCTTATATATGTGCAGACAATATACATAAAATAAAAAATAATGTGCATTTCATGTGCATACAAGTATGTGATAACACATAATCTTGCAATGTTATGAGACTGATAATAGTATGTGTTTACTACTGGGAAGTAGCTGCAGTAACTACTGTTAAATGTTGTCATTCTAGTGTGGTGGCGCATGCCTTAAGGCCCAGCAGTAGGGAGGCAGAGGCAGAGGCAGGCGGATCTCTGTGAGTTCAAGGCCAGCCTGGTCTACATAGCAAGTTCTAGGCCAGCTGGGCTACAGCTGGGGCCTCTTTTCAAAAAGACCAAAAAAAAAAAAAAAAAAGTTGTCATTCTAATAATAGCCATATTCTTTCCTTTGTTGAAGGACTGTCTTGTAATTATTCAGAAAAACAGATTTGTAAGCTTTAAGCAAATATTTACAGGTTGAAGCATCTCTATTATTTCCAAGTTTAGACATGAAAAGTGTTTCTAGTTCACTAGAAAAATTGTTTCAAATAGAAGATCATTCTTTTAAACTGAGGGATCCAGATTATAAACTGATGTTATAGAAAATGATCTAAGTGAATGCACAGATGAATAAACATTAAATACTATGTTGTGATATGATATTCTGGGATCATTATGGAAGTATTGTAGATC